CTCCAGTATCTTCTAGAGTTCAACAATTTGCATTTAACCTTTATGTGTAAGATACATTTATAGTTAATTTTGTGGAAGTTGTAAAGGGCATCTCAGGTGTTGGGGTAGCACTCCACTAATATATGCCATGACGTAGAAGAGTAGAATTGGTGATATAAAGGATTTACCAATGCTTAGGAGATAAAGTCTCACAAAGTAGAATTCAGGTGAGGGAGGACTGCCTCTAAAACATTCAAAAGATAAGTATATGCTAACCAGCCCTGTTAGAGATTAGGATGTTAGGATACACATTTGTTCACCAGGATTGTCCAAACATTTGGCTCCAAACCATACAAAGAAGCCACCCCTGATTAAAAACTAGCCACTAGACCTATCCCCATATCAAAGAACAGGCTGCTAAAGGAGGCATTATAGGGTCACAACCAACCTGGTGTGCCATAAAGTTCCAGTTTTCTTTTTGAGAAAAACATAATTCTGTCAGATGGGTATTATGAAACCAGGTGACAACTATTTGATAAGTAAAAGACTGTTGTGTTAAGGACTTGGCCTGTTCAAGCAAGGCTTTCAGTTAAGCCCTGTGTTTGTCTGCAGGATTTCCCAGCTATGAGGCAATGGATTGGCTGCACTGGACATAGAGTTTATAATGGAATGTTCACACAAAGGACCCTGTGCTTTGGATGAGGAACAGGATGTGCTCTAGGAGAGTGGAAGAATGTCTACTAAAATACAAATGTTCCAGACTAGAGCCTTTTCTGTTGGGCTGGAAGGACAGAGTTGGAAGGACTGTGCTGTCTGAGTCATTTGATCTCTGATCACCAAGTAGGGGAGCTGCTAATATTCTGAGGTCTAGCTGGGTGGCCCTAACCAATGAGGGATTCTGAGGAGGCTTGGCAATCAGGAGTACTAGTGGCAAGTTGCTTGTGAGTTCTTTCCAGGATTCTCCTCTGCTTCTGGTGTAGGCAGTTGTAAAGACCACAAACCATGCCATGGTGAGTGTAGGGTGTTCAGAGCAGGTCTGCTGAGCTGTCATTTCTGCTGGGATTTGGTGAACCATGAGCCAGACTGTGGTTCTGTTGGTTCATGTGGTTACCTGTCCTCTGAGCCTCCCTGTGTATGAATTTCCTGGGGAAGGGGAGACTCTGAAGCCCTGACATGGGAGGATATGATGCTTGTAGTGTCACTATCCAGTGTGCACACACAGGCACTGCTTTTGGTGTGCAGTGGGAAGACAGATTGGAAAACTGAAGGTCTGGTTTCTACAAGTTCTGAATATTGCATTCCACTTTCAGGTTTGTCTTATAAATGTTACAAATAGTTTGGAAAGTGGTAGAAAGATGTGATGTGTCTCACTTTTCAGCAATACATGATTAGAAGGCTTTTAAATTTCTGCTACTACCAGCCACAATGGTGTGATTCAGTAAAGTTTAGTTCTAGGGGACAAAAGGAGTTTCTGATCTGCAGAGATTTCTCAGGTGTGCATGGTGTTGGTCAGGTGATAGGGCAGAATACACATCTTGTGCCATAAACCATGTGGCAGAAAGTACCAAATTCCCCCCAAGTGCCTGCCTTGAGGAGATTTCTATCAGGGTCCAGAACAGATGCTACAAGCAGCTAAGGATACTAATCTGAGGGATGTTCAATGAATCTAAGCACACTGAGCTCATTAGTCCATTCACTTTACTCTTCTAAGTCAATTCTACTATTGCTGTGGGTGGGAAACCAGTATATATACATGAACAGTCATTCTTTTACAATGCATTGTGAGATTTGAAGTTTTCAGGGTCACTGAGAAAGGTGATAGGGATCCACACATAAAACAATAATTGTCAGTTTCCAATTACAACCCAAAAGGGGAGTGACTAAAGGGGAGTTCTCTGGTAAGGTCAACTAAAGGCTAAGATCAATCAGGGAATTTATTTGCTCAAAGTATAATCTAGAAATGGCTAGGTAGAATGTTAGGGGTCAATAAGTCACAAGAAAGTAAACTGTCTTTGGTACCACTTCCCCCCAACACACACCCACTTTCTCGTCCTGGCTGCAACTGCTTTCTGATAGGGAGGGGGAGTACGCCAGGTTGCTAGACAACCTAAGTCAGAGCATGCAGCATTCCGTTAGTAAAAGCTCAGAGTAATTTTAGAGGAGAAAATCTAGGAATAGCACCTGGCTGAGGAGGAGTTAAAACTTAATTTGCACAAGAAAGAAGCTTGGCACCTATCACCTGCCTGGCCTGTAGGCAGTCTCCTTGGGTTGGGGGAAGTAACTGCTTTAAATCAGTAACTAGCAAATGGCTAAAACATCATCCCAGGAATGTGAGCAGTAAATCTCTTAAGTTAGGGTCTTGTCTTAATAACCCGTGGTGAAGGTAAAGAGTTGAGAATTTAATTGCTAGTGGTTATTTTCTCTTATCTGTAAGTGAGATGAGCTAATGTTTGTCTATGTGCTGTTTTGTTCTTTTTTTTTCCAAGCCAAACTGTATCCAGCTTTATTAAAGATACTTTCCATAAACAATCATGGTTTTTCAGGCAGGACATGGGCAGATAGTCATTAACAGTATACAGGAACTTCCAAACTCCCTTATTGTATAGACTACCAAAATCAGAAAGCCACTATAAAACCCCATGAGTCGTCATTTGATGCTTTGAAAAGGGGGAGAGCTTAGAGTGAGGGCTGACAGTTCACACTGAGGATGTTGTTTAACAACTTTTGACAAGCCGACCCTGACTTTCAGGAAGCCAGACGAACACGGCAGAATTATCAATCTGAAGATCCACAATCTTTTATAAAAGGAACCGCTGCTCTTTTGAGGACACAATTGCTGTGGGATGGTCTGTATGTCAAATGTGTTGCTGATTGGTCAATGAATAAATCACTGATTGGCAGTGGCCAGGCAGGAAGTATAGGCGGGACTAACAGAGAGGAGAACTGAGAGAACAGGAAGCTGGGTGGGAGAGACACTGCCAGCCGCCATCAGGACAAGGAAGATGTAAAGTACCGGTAAGCCACGAGCCATGTGGCAAGGTATAGATTAATGGAAATGGATTAATTTAAGCTATAAGAACAGTTAGCAAGAAGCCTGCCACGGCCATACAGTTTGTAACCAATATAAGTCTCTGTGTTTACTTGGTCGGGTCTGAATGGCTGTGGGACTGGCGGGTGTCAGAGATTTGTCCTGACTGTGGGCCAGGCAGGAAAACTCTAGCTACAAATGGCGTCCAACGTGGTGGCAAGAGTTTCCACCTAAAAACTGAGAAAAAAGATTCTAAAACGGAGCTAAAAACAGTTCCTAATTGTCTCTCTCAAATGAGCGGCAGCTGCCGGTTTGAGCTGCCGGTTTGAGCTACTGGTGGTTCCTAGCGTGTGCGCTCGACCTGCCACCATATGGCGGGAATGAGGCCTCTGCAAGTGGCACATTAAGCTGCGTGGTGGATTTAGCCTTTGCTAGCACAAAACAAAAAAAGAGGTTTTGGGGCTACACGCTGCTTGGATAAAAGCATAGACCCACGATAGCTCCCAGAGCTGGCGGAAAACGTACTACCGCCATGCTGGGAAGCTGAGGTGGGTGGAGCCAGCAGCCACAGCTGCTGCAGTTTAAGGCAATAGATTCACAATAAGACAGATTCAGATGTAATAGTTTACAATGTGTGTAAAATATACGTAGGCTTGAAAGAGATTAAAAAGGTGATATATACAGTTACAGAAACAAATACGTAGTTTTAAAAAATAAAGTCTTTAAAGAGACAGTAAAATTAATATAAAAAATAAGCCCCATAAAGATGGATATCACACAGAGAATCTGGATTGTGTTGTCTTTGGGATTCTTAACTACAGAGAGATATTTGATTGTAAAGGAAGCTGAGTTAAACCAATATGCATATTTTAAAGGTACCTTGACTTCAAAATTTGGATATAAGGATATGTTACTTTGGAAAGGAGACTCTGCTTTTGTTTCCACAGAAAGCCAGAGGCTATGGATTTGTTCCAGATTAAGACACATCAGGTTTGACCAGCCAAGACCACCTGAAAGGTCTCCGATGACACCATAGCCCAGATGATCCAACATCCAGAACCGTTTCAAGGCAACTGGCTCAGATGATACAGCCTCATGGACTACTCCATAATCCTAAAATATTCTTTGTGTCCCCATAAGATACAGCGCCCCCCTCCAGCAGGAAGTAGTAAGAGAAGCTACGCCCAAATTCCCAAATATACCAAGCTGACTTTGGAGATGTGTAAAGGTTAAAACCTTCCTTTTTAAGAAAAGAAAAGGGGAAGTGCTGTGGGATGGTCTGTATGTCAAATGTGTTGCTGATTGGTCAATGAATAAATCACTGATTGGCAGTGGCCAGGCAGGAAGTATAGGCGGGACTAACAGAGAGGAGAATTGAGAGAACAGGAAGCTGGGTGGGAGAGACACTGCCAGCCGCCATCAGGACAAGGAAGATGTAAAGTACCGGTAAGTCACAAGCCATGTGGCAAGGTATAGATTAATGGAAATGGATTAATTTAAGCTATAAGAACAGTTAGCAAGAAGCCTGCCACGGCCATACAGTTTGTAACCAATATAAGTCTCTGTGTTTACTTGGTCGGATCTGAATGGCTGTGGGACTGGCGGGTGTCAGAGATTTGTCCTGACTGTGGGCCAGGCAGGAAAACTCTAGCTACACACAATGATACCACTGCAAAGTCCAGATTGCCTGATAGACTGGCAAAACCAATTTTGGGGGTCAGGTTCCAACAGGTGTCTGGTTTGAAGGGAGTTAAGTCTATGTTGATGGTACAGGGGAGGAAGACACAGAAATGAATTTAGAGTTTCACACACTAGGCATTTTGTGCCATGGTGGCCACATATGTCAACACCAGGACGTCTCTCCTGAGAGCCAAGAGGAGTCTTTCAAAATTAGCAGGGAAAGATGTTTTCCAACATCAACCATCACCAATCCAGCTTGGGAGATGACACATGTTCCTTCCCCACCCCAAAACAATGAAGTATTCTGTGTGCTAACAACATAGCTTCAAAAAAAAAAAAGTAAAACAAAATTCTGCATTTTTATAAAACTTGATAAAAAATAGTATTTCAAACTGTACAGTCACCAGAAGTACACAGTTATCAAAAATGCACACATTTCACTTGGCATCTTCAGCACCTTCAGCTTTTTGTGCCTGGTCTGTTTTGGCGTCTCTGTTTTCTGCAGGATTATTCACATCCTTCCTGGCATCAGCCTTCCCCTTCTTCCCCTTGGGGACCTTCTCTCCCTTCTTTGCAGGGGCCTTTTTAGGCTTGGGCTCTGACTTTGGAGGAGCAGGTTTAGCAGATAACCTTGCAGATCTTCTCTGTGGCTCATCCTTCACCTTGGCTTTATCTCCTTTAGTATCCCCTTCAGTCTTTCTTTTGGGCATGGCAGATGTCGGCACTGGACGCAGGGATGTAGCGTTGCGCAGGTTTGGTCGTCCGGGTGTCGTTCTCGCTGCTTCTTCACACTGCTCCGCAGTTTTGTTCTTGGAAAAAGGTTTCTTTGCAGAAATACTTTTGTCTGGAGAATGGCTCTGGCCAGATTTATGTTAATGAAAAGGTAAACATGACTGGGGACAGCCATCCAATTACCCCAAATGTATAAGGAGAGTTGTGCCAAATTAGTGATCAATCATACTGTTATAAATTCTTGAAGGAAAAGTGGAATAGGGAAACTCCAATAGAACACAAGAAATTCATTGCAGGATACAGCTAATATATTCAAAGCTAATATCACCAAGTCTCCTTAAGTCTTGGTTTTCCTCTGGAAAAGTCCATAACTTTTTCTAGGTAATAGCTTTGTCAATATTAGCTGAACTCCTTCATATTTCTACTGTTGGCAGCAAGAAAGCAGATTTTAGGATATTCAATGAAGTTTTGGGATTGGGTTAGGGCTAGGGCTGGGGCTGGGGCTGGGGCTGGGGCTGGGGCTGGGGCTAGGGCTAGGGCTAGAGGGTTAGGGTTGGGTTAGGGTTAGAGGTTGGGAGGGAGGAGGGAGGAGATGGGATATTTATGTAGAGTGAGTAGAAAATTTCTTAATAAAAAATTAAAATAAAATTATGCCCTTCAAAAAAAAACAAAAACAAAACAAAAACAAAAATAAATATTCCACTATTATCCTATCTACAAAATCCCACCCCTGGGTATGCATCTACACAATCCCACTCCCATGACCTGTACACACATGACCTACCCAAGCAGCCTTAGGGGGTTAGGGTTAGGGTCAGGGTGTGGGGTCAGGGTCAGGGTTAGGATCAGAGTTAGAGGATAAGGGTCAGGGTGATGATCAGGGTCAGGGTCGGGGTGGTCAGGGTTAGGGTTGGGTTTAGGAGCTAGGGGTTAGGGGTTAGGAGTTAGGGTTAGGTTTAGGCCTCCATTCCGTTCCTTTCCATTTCCGTTCCATTTCATTCTGTTCTGTTCTATTCCACTGTTTGTGTCAGGGTCAGGGACTAGGGTCAGGGTTAAAGTTGGGGTCAGAAGAGTTAGGGTCAGGGTCAGGGTTAGAAGGGTTAGGGTCATGTTCTGGGTTGGAAGAGTTAGGGTTAGGTTCGGGTATAGGGTCAGGGTCAGAGTCAGGGTCAGGGTCGGGTGTAGCGTGAATCCTAAAGGGTCTTATTAATAAAAATCAAACCTGATGCCAGGTATTGGGTGAATTGAACTCACAGAGATCTAGGTGGATCTAGGCCTCTGGAATGCTAGGATTAAAGGTGTGTGCTACCACTGCCTAACCTCTATGTTTAATATTGTGGCTGTTCTGTTCTCTGACCCCAGATAAGTTTATTAGAGTGCACAATATTTTGAGGAATACAATATCACCACAGTCGGTTCAGGGTTAGGGTCAGGTTCAGGGTGAAGGTGAGGGTCAGGGTCAGGGTGAGGGTTCAGGGTTAGAGGGTTGCTGAGGATCAGGATTAGAGGATCAGGGTGAGGATCAGGGTTAGAGGGTTGGTGAGGATCAGAATTAGAGGGTCAGGGTGAAGGTTCAGGTTTAGAAGGTCAGGGTGAGGGTTGAGGGTTTAGAGGGTCAGGGTGAGGATCAGGGTCAGGGTGAGGGTTCAGGGTTAGAGGATAAGGGTGAGAGTCAGGGTGAGGGTCAGAGGGTCAGGGTGAGGGTTAGAGGGTCAGGGGTCAGGGTCAGAGGGTGAGGGGTCATGGACAAGGTCAGATGTCAGGGGTCAAGGTTGGGGTCAGGGATCGGGGTTTAGGGTCAGGGTTTAGGGTTAGGGTTTAGGGTTGGGGTTAGGGGTTAGTGCTGTGGGATGGTCTGTATGTCAAATGTGTTGCTCTGATTGGGAAATAAATAAATCACTGATTGGCCAGTGGCTAGGCAGGAAGTATAGGTGGAAATTGGAAGGTAGATTCAGAGACACTGCCAGCTGCCACGATGACAAGCAGCATGTGAAGATGCAAGTAAGCCATGAGCCACGTGGCAAGGTATAGATTTCTGGAATTGGATTATTTTAAGCTGTAAGAACAGTTAGCAAGAAGCCTGCCACGGCCATATAGTTTGTAACCAACGTAAGTCTCCTTTTTTACTTGGTCCGGTCTGAGCAACTGTAGGACTGGCAGGTGAGAGAGATTTGTCCTGACTGTGGGCCAGGCAGGAAAACTCTACTACAGGTTAGGGTTAGGGGTTAGGGTTAGGGTCAGGGTTAAGGTCAGGGTCAGGGTCAGGGTTATGGTCAGGGTCAGGATCAGGGGTTAGGTCCAAGGGTCAAAGATCAAAAGGTCAAGCGTCAAAAGTTAAAGATCAAGGGTCAAAGATCAAAAGGTCAAGGGTCAAAGGTCAAGAGATCAAGGGTCAAAGGTAAAGAGATCAAGGGGCAAAGGTCAAAGGTCAAAAGATCAAGGGCCAAAAGGTCAAAAGTTAAAGATCAGGGGTCAAAAGGTCAAAGATCAAAAGGGTCAAGGGTCAAAGGTCAAGAGGTCAAGGGTCAAAGGTCAAGAGATCAAGGAGCAAAGATCAAAGGTCAAAAGATCAAGGGTCAAAGGTCAAAAGTTAAAGATCAAGGGTCAAAAGGTCAAAGATCAAAAGGTTAAGGGTTAGGGTTAGGGTTAGGGTTAGGGTTAGGGTTAGGGTTAGGGTTAGGGTTAGGGTTAGGGTTAGGGTTAGGGTTAGGGTTAGGGTTAGGGTTAGGGTTAGGGTTAGGGTTAGGGTTAGGGTTAGGGTTAGGGTTAGGGTTAGGGTTAGGGTTAGGGTTAGGGTTAGGGTTAGGGTTAGGGTTAGGGTTAGGGTTAGGGTTAGGGTTAGGGTTAGGGTTAGGGGTTAGGGTTAGGGTTAGGGTTAGGGTTAGGGTTAGGGTTAGGGTTAGGGTTAGGGTTAGGGTTAGGGTTAGGGTTAGGGTTAGGGTTAGGGTTAGGGTTAGGGTTAGGGTTAGGGTTAGGGTTAGGGTTAGGGTTAGGGTTAGGGTTAGGGTTAGGGTTAGGGTTAGGGTTAGGGTTAGGGTTAGGGTTAGGGTTAGGGTTAGGGTTAGGGTTAGGGTTAGGGTTAGGGTTAGGGTTAGGGTTAGGGTTAGGGTTAGGGTTAGGGTTAGGGTTAGGGTTAGGGTTAGGGTTAGGGTTAGGGTTAGGGTTAGGGTTAGGGTTAGGGTTAGGGTTAGGGTTAGGGTTAGGGTTAGGGTTAGGGTTAGGGTTAGGGTTAGGGTTAGGGTTAGGGTTAGGGTTAGGGTTAGGGTTAGGGTTAGGGTTAGGGTTAGGGTTAGGGTTAGGGTTAGGGTTAGGGTTAGGGTTAGGGTTAGGGTTAGGGTTAGGGTTAGGGTTAGGGTTAGGGTTAGGGTTAGGGTTAGGGTTAGGGTTAGGGTTAGGGTTAGGGTTAGGGTTAGGGTTAGGGTTAGGGTTAGGGTTAGGGTTAGGGTTAGGGTTAGGGTTAGGGTTAGGGTTAGGGTTAGGGTTAGGGTTAGGGTTAGGGTTAGGGTTAGGGTTAGGGTTAGGGTTAGGGTTAGGGTTAGGGTTAGGGTTAGGGTTAGGGTTAGGGTTAGGGTTAGGGTTAGGGTTAGGGTTAGGGTTAGGGTTAGGGTTAGGGTTAGGGTTAGGGTTAGGGTTAGGGTTAGGGTTAGGGTTAGGGTTAGGGTTAGGGTTAGGGTTAGGGTTAGGGTTAGGGTTAGGGTTAGGGTTAGGGTTAGGGTTAGGGTTAGGGTTAGGGTTAGGGTTAGGGTTAGGGTTAGGGTTAGGGTTAGGGTTAGGGTTAGGGTTAGGGTTAGGGTTAGGGTTAGGGTTAGGGTTAGGGTTAGGGTTAGGGTTAGGGTTAGGGTTAGGGTTAGGGTTAGGGTTAGGGTTAGGGTTAGGGTTAGGGTTAGGGTTAGGGTTAGGGTTAGGGTTAGGGTTAGGGTTAGGGTTAGGGTTAGGGTTAGGGTTAGGGTTAGGGTTAGGGTTAGGGTTAGGGTTAGGGTTAGGGTTAGGGTTAGGGTTAGGGTTAGGGTTAGGGTTAGGGTTAGGGTTAGGGTTAGGGTTAGGGTTAGGGTTAGGGTTAGGGTTAGGGTTAGGGTTAGGGTTAGGGTTAGGGTTAGGGTTAGGGTTAGGGTTAGGGTTAGGGTTAGGGTTAGGGTTAGGGTTAGGGTTAGGGTTAGGGTTAGGGTTAGGGTTAGGGTTAGGGTTAGGGTTAGGGTTAGGGTTAGGGTTAGGGTTAGGGTTAGGGTTAGGGTTAGGGTTAGGGTTAGGGTTAGGGTTAGGGTTAGGGTTAGGGTTAGGGTTAGGGTTAGGGTTAGGGTTAGGGTTAGGGTTAGGGTTAGGGTTAGGGTTAGGGTTAGGGTTAGGGTTAGGGTTAGGGTTAGGGTTAGGGTTAGGGTTAGGGTTAGGGTTAGGGTTAGGGTTAGGGTTAGGGTTAGGGTTAGGGTTAGGGTTAGGGTTAGGGTTAGGGTTAGGGTTAGGGTTAGGGTTAGGGTTAGGGTTAGGGTTAGGGTTAGGGTTAGGGTTAGGGTTAGGGTTAGGGTTAGGGTTAGGGTTAGGGTTAGGGTTAGGGTTAGGGTTAGGGTTAGGGTTAGGGTTAGGGTTAGGGTTAGGGTTAGGGTTAGGGTTAGGGTTAGGGTTAGGGTTAGGGTTAGGGTTAGGGTTAGGGTTAGGGTTAGGGTTAGGGTTAGGGTTAGGGTTAGGGTTAGGGTTAGGGTTAGGGTTAGGGTTAGGGTTAGGGTTAGGGTTAGGGTTAGGGTTAGGGTTAGGGTTAGGGTTAGGGTTAGGGTTAGGGTTAGGGTTAGGGTTAGGGTTAGGGTTAGGGTTAGGGTTAGGGTTAGGGTTAGGGTTAGGGTTAGGGTTAGGGTTAGGGTTAGGGTTAGGGTTAGGGTTAGGGTTAGGGTTAGGGTTAGGGTTAGGGTTAGGGTTAGGGTTAGGGTTAGGGTTAGGGTTAGGGTTAGGGTTAGGGTTAGGGTTAGGGTTAGGGTTAGGGTTAGGGTTA